AATAATAATAATAATAATAATAATAATAAAATACTATAGTTCTTTTGCCATCTATTCACATAGAAATTTAAACCAAAACGACACAATGTTTATATTCCTGATTATGTACCTTCTGCTGATATTGTGATGCTTGTGCTTCGGAATGCAGTACAAGTTCAGAGATGTACTCTTTCATTCGCTCAATCTGCAGAACAGAATCAATGAATTTTCATTCGGCAGAAGGAAAAATGAAACGGGCATAATTGGAAAGGGTACAAAAGGGTCAGGAATGAAATCCACAAGCTAATCATGACTTGACCTCCTTTGATTGCCCCACTTTTTCCGCTTCAAGGACTCTTATTCTTCTAAGAGCCTCTGCAAGTTCCAGGGATCTGCTATGCAGTTTCCTGAAACAGAATAATTAATAATTATAAACGATTGTGAAGCAGGAACTAACAATATGCATAGAGAAAGCAAAGAGCTTTCTCACCTTGAAAGTAGATCCTCAGATAGAGTTGTGCTTGAGTTATCGGAATTCATAGTTTCAGTCAGGTCCTCAACAGCTAATAATCTCTCTCTCAGTCCTTGAAGTTCCGATTCTAACGAATCTCTGATCACGCGATGTTTTTCAATTTCCTCGCCCATTTCTTGCACCTTTAAATGGTAAATATCGAAGTTCACTTTTTCAAATAATAACCTATTAACTTGTTAACGTGAAATGCATTACCTGAGACAGTCATAAATGAGGGAAACAGCATGGCACACAATGCTAACTTTCAAATCAAACAAAAAAATTGCAGCAGGTCCTATGACTGCTAGGACGTTTTCCATGATAATAGAGTAGAAGAAAAGCTTACCTTCTTCTCCAGTACAGTTATGGTGCTATCAAGCTCCGCTACAGAATTTTCTAAAATCTTGACCTCCTCTTCCTTTTGCTCAGCATAAATTTTACACACCTCCGACTCCTGGGGTTGTGGGTTCAAATTTAGCAGATGAAAAACCTTCTACCTTCTGCAATATTATAAAACTTCAAACATGAACATACCTGGCGGGCTTCCGCAGCTATAGCTTCATTCTCATCTGCTAAAGAACATGCCATGTCAAGCCTATCTTGCAAAGAGCAAAGCTGTTCAACAAGTTGGTCTCTTTCTAAACTCACCCTTCTTAAATCATCCTCACTATCTTTCATGGAAGAAATTAATTGTTTCTCGGAAGAATGATGCAAGTGAATACTTTCTTTTTCTAAACTTTTGACAATTTCCCTTTGCTCTTCCAGTAGCTCCTCTGCTTCTGACTTTTTAAGATAGAGATCTTTTGTGAGCACTTGCAACTCAGTATTTTGAGCTGACAAGAAATCTAATATTCCTCTTGCCTTTTCCAATTCGGACTTTGAGATGCACAGAGCTTGCTCAGCTTCAGTCAAGCGGCCTTCAAGTTTTATATTTTGACTGAGCATGTCATCAAGTTGAAGAGTTTTTAACTGTAGCTCATCCTTAACTCGGTTCAAAGTGACAACCAACTCTTCAATTTCATCCTTACTGTCCTTTCTGTTGCACAAAGATTCTTGCAGCAAGCTGAAATCAAAAAATAATCCTTTCAATAGAACATCTTTCCTTTCGAGCTCTCTCTTGAGTTCATAATTTTCATTTATAGTGTCATCTTGTACCAGGGCCAACTCTTTAACCTCTCTTTTGCTGATCTTTGCAGTCTGATCTCCTTGACATTGCACAGAAGAAACTATACTGTCATTATTGCATCTCACATGACCTCTTTCAAGGTCAATCATCGTTAAACAACCTTCTTGGAACGGAGAGGGATGAAAATTAGAAGTTATGTTCAGCCTTCTGAAGTTGTGAAAGAATTCTCCCATGTGGCACTGTAGCACAATGGAAGTAATTTCGTTTTCCACTGTCCGGCACATTACATCTTCCAGTGATGATCTCAAGTTACAAGTCAAGTTTAATGTCTCTTGAACTGAGTGGAAGGTATCGTCATATGCTGCATTTAACAATTCTTCTACACTTCTTTGCATTTGTAGAAAAGATCCTTCAAGCGAATGCATTAAATTTCCTATTTCTCTTGAGCTATGTTGGATATGATCCTGCAAGACTTCATTCTCTCCATCTCTTAAATGAATATGTAATCTGAGTTGTTTGATCTCTTCACTCAAGTTAGCTTTATCTGCCATGAGTTCCTCTCCCGCTTGTTTCCAGATTGCCGTCAGCGAATTTGCATTTTCATTTGCTTTTAACATTGCTTTTAACACATGATCTGCTTCTTTTACAGTTGAATGAGCCTCCTCGAATTTGGCAAAGAAGGTATTGACGTGCACATGACTACATTTCTCCTCAACTGCCGACTGCATATCACATAATATTGTACACAGAATTAAGAGCAAAATAAGACATGCATATGTTTTGGACAGGCTTATTTAAATCAAACAGAAAAAGTAGAGAAGTGTACTTCATAGCATTTATTCATTAAAAATAAATGAAAAGTTTTAGCTGTGCATTTTGCTTGTAGGGTCTTTACCCGTTCACTATAGTTCCTGCCTGATTCAGCTTTCTGCATTGACAACTTATCATATTGAACCCTATGGTTGGTCTCCAGCATAGCAGGTTGATTGTGTCCAAGTACATGATGCTTGCAGAATTTCACAAATTCATTCATATTAGGCAGAGAGGAATTCGTGGCAGGGACATTCTTGATTGTGTCCTCGTTCAGAACTGCAGTGAACTGATCCTTTAGTTTGGCAAAAGTGTTGCAAGCTTTTCTTAACTCCTTACCAAAGTGCAAAACTGTTGTATTATGATTGAAATTTGATCCTTCATCTGATTCTGGTGACAGAATTTGTTCAGTTAGTTTGCCAGGTGAGTCGTAGCTGTTTCTTGATGAAGATTTATTGGATATATTATCTTGATCAACATTATATTCTGAAGAATTACAGTCTGAAGTTGAACAATCACTGATCCATCCATCCGTCTCCACTAAATCTTTAGTTGAACCTGGACGAGTGAGCACATTCACAACTTCGTAAAATCCCACAGCAATAGAACTCAGTCTGTCATTTGTTTCAACAAGTTCATCTCTGATTTCATGTAGCGTTTGTAGCTGATTTTCATGCACACATGAAGCACTCAATGGAATTCCGGCTGTACAAAGTTGAACGCTTCCTAGATTCCTGTTAAACTCCTCAACATTCCTCCTCATCTCAGCAACATCCTTGACACTTCCGCTAAACAATTCCTTATAAAGAGAAGATGCTTTATGAATGTCAAATTTGAGTTCATGTAAATATGTTTCTGCATCAGAATGAGCTGCATTAACAGCATCTTCAATCTCTAACAAAACCAGCCTTGCCAATTCAATTTGACCATCAACATTTGCCATTGTCAAACCTTTTGTATGAGCTAATGGCACATCATGATGAACACTGTCTTTAAGACCACTCATGAAATAATTAGCAGTCCTATTTTCAACCACTAAAGCGGCATTAGGGCATTTTTCAGCTTCAAAAATGTGGCGGTCCTTGGAGATCAATTTATCCCCTGAAAACTCTTTTTCATCAAATGAATCATTCAAAAGAGTAGTTAACTGTACATCCTCTTTGCTGCTTATGTTATTCTCTAGCTGCTGAAATTCAGTCAAAGCAATTGTTGCACCCTTCAAGGAGATCAATTGCTGTTCCATCTGCATTACAGTCTTCTGGGCATCTTCCAAACTCTCTTGCAGTAGCAATATTGTTTCTTCCTTCTCAATACAAATCTTCACAGCCCTCTCAACATGCTCATCAACCCAAATATTAACATGCGGAAATGAACAGGAAATACTTTTTATTTGGCGAGATGCATCTCCCAGGGATTTAGAACCATCTATTAGGAAGGTGGTTAGCTCCAAAGTTGCCCTTTCCCACTCTGCACAGAGTGATCTTATTTCATCTTCCTTGGCAGCCAAAGAGTTTCTAAGATTTAAATTCTCTTCGTCCATGGAGCATATACGCACATGAAGTTCTGATTGAAGTCTATCAACCTCTTCCTGTAATTGAAAAATTGTTCTAGTTGTTTCCATCTCCACTTCACTGCGGATTAGATCAGTTTCGTGATCTTGCGAAAACCGAGATGCATGATCCTCTAGATATTGGCTGTTAAGTAGCTGTGTCTCCTTAAGGTCCCGAGACAATTTTTCCATCTTAGCTTGCAGATCCATCATGTTTGTATCTTCGATGTTTTTCATCACCAGAGTTGACTCCTGATTTTCTGTACCACTGATTTTCTCGTTATGGTCGTCGTTTTCTTGCTCTGCCATTTCCTTATTGTACAGCATTTCTGTCAAACGATGATTATCAGCACGCAAAAACTCTATCTCTTCAATCAGGTGAAACTGCTCGAGTTTCATGGATTCAATCAAAGATTGTGCATCTGTCAGCTGTCTCTGAATGCTGTTATACTGCAAGTCCGCGAAATTGTCCGTCTGCTTATAATTTCTGTCATGTAAATCACCACCGATGCTGTTAGATGTTGCCTCGTCCATTGAATCACTTCGAAAGGACTCATTTTCAATCTGCAAAGAAACTAATGTCATGGAAATTGCATCGAGAAAATGTATTTGCCTATGATATTTTTCTTCTCTTTTTTGCAATCAGCATTCTAGCTTGTCAAGAATTTATGGAGCTCCACAATACAATGAACAATGTCAAGATATTTGCAAGATCTTCAATACAGACACTTGATTAGGATCAATTTATTTTAAACAAATTTGAGTCATGTGCTTGCAGACGTGAAGAATTCAGAATATGTTTCGCAAAGTAATCACAGATTCTATCGAAGGACAGAAGACAATATAGCTCAATAGCCTTTTCTGTTTCATTGACAAAGTTAACACAGATGAGTCAAGTATCTATCCCCAGAAGAATAACATCTATTAGCAGTCATTTAAGAAGTGATTAGAACCTGTCCTTACCGAGACAAAAGCATCACTTAAAAGATGTGTTGAAGTGCCCTGGTGCTTCATCAGAAATGAAAGCTGGCCCTGTTTAAGCAAACACTTAATTAACAAGCTACTCGGTTCCAAATATCATGCATTGATACATTTTACAATAAATTCATACTTTTAATTGCTTGATTTGCTGCTGCAATGCAATTACATCACCAGAAGCGTCTTCATTTATTTTAGCCTAGGAAAAAACGAAGAAGATTAATAAAGGAAACAAAAATAAAGAATCTGAAGTTTCAATAAGGAAAAGTAAATCTGAGTTCAAACTTTATACATTGTTCTGAATAAGCTTGGCACGCTGTGCAAACTTCAAAGTGCTCAGAGTTTCATTCACAGAGCTGCAAGAAGAAGCAAATATAAATTAGAAAAAATATTTCAAAACAAGATCTGTTTTTGATAATCATTCGAAGTTTGCAATCAAAATTGTACCGAATAGAAGGGCTAACATTTGCAATGATTGCAGTTTTTGAATTTCCACCAAGAGAATCCTGCATTGAAGGGAAACACAAAACGAAAACCATTACACTCAGATATATTCAGTAATGAAAGGAAAATACATGATTATCTACTGCTTAAAAATTACAAGATATCTGCCTCAAAAGATATAATTTTGAGACCTGAAGGAGAAACGTTAGCCTAGAATCCCTGTAGGGTACATGTCTATGTTTCCCATGTGCTAAATCCACCAAAGACATTATTACCAGTCTACAATTAAAAATCAGCAGAAGAGTTAGAACGTGATATGAAGAGAAAAAAAATCTCATTCATAGAGTCAAAGGTGTACATAGCTTGCAACAAGTCAAATAACAAAAATGAAAATATGCAAAATTAACATGGCTTCATATGGTTGCAAAAGATTTGATTTCTTTGGAACTTTCAGAAGTGTAATGTTGGATCAAATGGACTGGCTCAAAAGATTTCACGTAGCCACTTTCAAGTTTATCGGGAATAACATTTAGTTTCTTCTTGTTGTTGCATGGCTCCCCGAGCTTCAGGCATCTCTCTCATGGTGGATCAGATATGGAGTTAAAGTCATTCAACTTCCAACCTCTTTCGGGGATTCCATACCTTGGAACTTTATGTTCCTTACGATGTTGTGCATGTCTTGGGTACTAAGCTAAGCGGTATGCATGTGTTCCATACCATAAGATAGTTAATATTTTTTATGCAGAAAAGCCTTGATATTTAATTCATTCAAATTTTAATTTCACAGTCCTTCAGATGTTTGAGATTCTCGTCCCTCATTTTGAAATTTGATGTGTTTTAAAGACAAGTACATTATATATTAACCCAGGAAGAATATGACATTGTCCTACGATCTTAAATCAGGAAGTTATTACAAGATATAGGCTCATAAACATATATGATATCGACAATCTGATAAGAATTAGTATCGTAAAATACTGCCGAAAAGCAAATCTGCCAACTCAACCTAACTACAGCAGATTATGAAATCAATTACCCAAGAGTTGACAGGGACTTGTTTATATTTGCCGCTTCTTTCAGACGATCTCCTTCCGCCCCCGAGCTTTTCTGCCTAACAAAACTAAAGATGTCATTCCATGTGAATACTTTCCAAACTTGAGATGGTTGTCAATAAGATTAGCACTTACCTCTCAGAACCAGCCAGATCTACTAAATTCAACCTTCCAAACCTAAAGTGAGTCATAGAATCTTTCTCCCAGCAGCTCTCAATGATGCACGTGAAGACACTGTGGGAACGACTGCTCTTGCTGTTCATATGAGTTGCTGCCATTTTCCTATTTGCAGCACCCTGTGAAATATATAGGCAAATCAATAAAGTTTATTATAATGAGCAGTTACAACGAAAGAATATTCATCTTTGATCTCACCTGTAGCAAAAGTGTCAGCACATCATCAACTGTTCTGACTCTATATTCAGTAAGATTTTCAACATATACCCCCTTCTTCGAGTCTTCTCTAATCTGTATTTATCAGACAAACAAAAGGAAATATCAATTGATTTGTTGTGTAAAAGTTTTACAGAATGACGAGGATGCTTCAAGTAAATTCTTAAATTACCTGTAAATTACTTGATGATGGCTCCAGGAGATCAGTTATTTGCTCATTGTATATCTCTAAGAAAGAGCATTTACAGCTATATTCTAGTCTTTCATGCTTTCTGCTCTCCTCTTCCTTAATGACGTTATCACGAGGACACAACAATAAGTATACATGTAAAAACCTAGAAGCAGAGTCTCCAAGTAATATAACGGTCAAACCTCTCTAATCCGAGCGAACAAGTACTCAAAAATGCGTGGAGTAATCCCAGAGTCTTCAGTGAGCGCTCCATCCAACTGATATATCTCACCCATCATAGTATATGTCTTTCCACTACCAGTCTGCAAGGACTCATTCCAAAAGTCAAAAGTCATATATCATTCACACACTAATATGTTATAATTATAAGTTGATAATGATCCTCAACCATATCTACCTGTCCATATGCAAATATGCAACTATTATACCCAGACATGCAATTTTCCACCATTGGCAATCCAGCAACTCTGAAAAGTTCTCCCTACAGAACGGTCAACTCTAGATAATTAATATCAAAACCACATTATAACAATCACCTGTGCTACATAGCATAGATACATAATTTATTTACATATATCCGTAGAGATATAGTCAGGTGAGCAAATTTAGGCTTGCAGTTCCTTCTACAATAGTTGTCTTTATCCTGATTAGGATGTTCCACTTGGATAATAACTAACTAATCTATAACTACCAAGAACTAACAACAGATGTGTATATTTTTATTTACAATATATTTTCATGCAAACAACATTTATTATTTTGAAATATAGCAAACAAAAGATGCACCTGTGATATAGTTTCACAAGCTATGTGATCAAAGGTGAATCTGGTTTCAGGTTGGCCAAGCCAAACTACTGTCTGGGCACTCTCTTGCCTCAGGCATCTCCCATACCCTTGGGAGACCTTCTCTATATTATTCAACGGTCTGATTCGTAGCAGAACCTACACCAAAAAATTGACATAATCACCACAACAATTTTTCAGAAGCTCGTAACACTGAAGCAATCAACTTCAAATACAAAATCTTCTGAAATAGACCTGCACATTGTGATCTTTCCAAAATGCTGGATCCCCATTGAGCTCAAAATGTGGAGCATCGATTATCATCTCTGAATTCACAAATGTAATTCCTCTAGGAACACTAGAAGAACCTTCTCCTTTTCCTCCTCCGGTGCCATATTGATACGGAGGCCTAGTCAGAGTATAAGCTCCTGACGCAGCCCCAATGTTAGATACCCGACTTGTGCTTCTAGAAGGTGTGCTCTGAGCTGAATTGGGCTCTGAGTAAGAAGCTTTACCGTCATTCAAAACTCTAGGAATTCCCGTTACAGCTGATTCAGATTTATTCCTTTGTTGATGAGGAGTCCGAGATTGGTATTGAGATGGATCTGGGATTGAATAGAGTGGTGCTCTGGAAGAAAAGAAGGGAATTTGATTGTGTGAATTTGGGAATTCATTTTCGTTTCCTTCAGATTGCGATGGCTTTGGAGGAACAAATCTGATTGTGGAGGAATTGTTTTTCGACATTGTGGAGAAAATTTAGAAAATGTAGAATTGGGGTCTATGGAGCAGGAGAATTGATGAAGGATGACGATGAAGTTCAAAGGGAAAATGTATTTGGGGATTTGGGGAATTGGGAGAAAGTGGCTGACATAGTAACAGGCTTAGCTCCAAAGCTGAAACTTCAATCTTAGAGAGAGAGAGAGAGAGAGAGAGAGAATGTGAACGTTGAGTTTATTGATAAGCCCGCTTGAATTTCAAATTCAAGCGTGGATAGAACTCCTGGATTTGTTGACTTGAGACTACCCCCTTAGTTAATATAATTGCAAAATTGACCCCAAATGTTTTGTGTTTTGACTTTTGTACACACCTTTTAGGGGTAAATTGTAGACACCGTCCCCAACCTTATGATTATTCTAATCTAAACATTTGATAAATTGGCACCATGGTCCTTAGACCATCTTCAACCCTACGTCAAAATATGAGGTAAGTTTTACACCATTTTTGTACCAAATTTTGCAACAGATTAAAATTATCTCTAACCCGTTATAACAAAAGTTATAGCAAATGAACAGTATTCAGAGCATGTTTGAGCCTCATTTTATAAAATAATGCATTTTGAAATAAGGGTTTGTTTGATTGCAAATGTGAAAAATTGGTGGAAAGAAAATATTTTACAGGGAATTGAATTGTCTATAAATTATTTTATTGGGAATTGTAATTAATTTGTTTGATTTGTATAATTTTTCACCTGGAAAATGTTGAAAGTTTGGTTCCGTTTGGCTTCTTTTTTCATAGAAATTGTCCATTAAAGTGATAATTTTTTATACCATCGGGTCTAGAATTTGTTCCAATTGCCAAAAAAAATGGAAAAAAAAAATTACCATACCGACTACCATTTGTTTGGCTTTATTTTGCATGAAAATTGTCAATAAAAATGATTTTTTTTTTTACCATTGTGTGTAGAATTTTTTCCAATTACCTGAAAAATCAAAACCAACCAAAACAACAAAAATACATTTTCCTCAAAAAGTTGGAAAATAAGGAAAGGAGGACCAAAATTCGGGAAAGATTTTGATATCAAACAAGTGCAAAAGTTGGAAAATGAAATATATTTTAGAAATAATGAAATCAAACAACGCTTAATCATTTTCATCATTTTTTTTAGTTATTAACAATTTATTTATCTGAAAATTAGTAATTTATTTAATTTACTACTACATAAATTACTAAGTAAATAATTACATTTCGTTGACTAAAATATTGAATTCGTTCCTTGATTATTATTGTATAACAAAAATATTAAATATTTAATTCGTTAACGAACATATTGAATTTGTTAACGAAAATATTGAATAATTACGTTTCGTTAATAATTTTTAAACTTTTTGAGTACTTTTATTTTAATTCATTCGTTTATTATTATTGATTACATGATTAAATTTCATTACATAGTACATGTTTGAGCCCCATTTTTTGCTAAGAATGCATTTTCAAATAGCATGTAATATTATTTTATTAAAAAATATGTGATTTAAAAAAAAATAGAGAGAAAAATGTATTTTTGAAATAATGAAGATCAAACAAAGGCATAATAATAATATTTATTATTATTATTATTATTCATTTTTTTTATAACAAAAAAAAGGACACAAATATCTTAACAACAATTTAGTGCAAAATGAAAAAGAAAAACACGAAGGACATTAACCGTTTAGGTACAAATTTTGGTGTTGGATTGGAGAGGTATTGCACCATCTTTTTAGTGAAAATGGTGAAATGATGTGATGATTGGAGATGCTCTTAGCCCTTATTTGTCTAATATTATTTCAAAAAAAAAATTCAAATTTATTTTCAACTATATATTCTCATAATAAAACTATTTTACACATAAATTCAAAAAATTTCTAATTTTTAACTACACATTTTTTCAGAAATTTACTATTCCAAAATTCATTTTCCCACTTTAATGGTGGAAAAAACAAGGACTTAATGACAATTTCTGCTCAAAATTTCTTTAAGCAAGCGTAGAATGAATAATTTGTCCTTGCACTAGAACCAAAGGGAAAAAGAAGAAAAAAGAGTTTTTCCCATAAGCATTGCTCAATCCACCCGACGACAGCTAGAGTTATAAGAGACTCTTTAAATATAAAATTATTTCTATTTTAAAGAGTCAATTCTTAAAATTAT